CAAGTTGCACGTGGGGAAAAAAACACGCCTGATTTAAATGTCACACCTGAACGCTCACATCCTTTTAATTATGTTTGAAATTATGAACATTGCTCAACATCATGAAAATTAAACCTTATTTTCAATAAGCAATCCTGAAAAATATTTGGGGGTGCTTAACTTTTTTCCAGGTGTATATATATATTCTTTCAAGTTGGTATTATATACATGCATGTTTTTATTTTACTGTCAAATAAATTGATTTGAATTGAATATCTCCCCTTTAACACTTATAGGAATGATAACTGTCAAAATGAACTAACTTTGATAGTAGTCTTTTCTTGCACACTAAACAATGATGAGAAACTGTAGCATCCAGCTGAAAAAATTGCCACAACTATTTAGAGGACCTGAGTACTCTATTGTGCTGGTTGCACTTATTGCATTGAAACCAAACATTTGTGCCAATAATGCATTGTAGTCACTTTCCGTGGCTTAAAAACAAATGCAATGTAATTTTTCATACTGAAATAACACATGGAATGATAAAATACGGTTGTAAACAGCTCACAAGACAATCATATTGCATATGTGCTATGATTCAAGTAATTGGGTGGACTGCATATTTTTTTATTTATTCATCACTATTTTTAGGAAATTTATCATTGAATTGTTTCAATGGGCATCTGCTAGTAACATAAGTTCTTTGCTTCCTAGACTTGTTAAGTATAAGTTAATCAAAGAGAGTAGATGTTTTATAATTTTAACCATGGCATAGCAGCTCACGGGATGGCTCAGAGTTTTTTTTTCATGTACAAACTTTTAGTTCATTGCTCTGTCATCTCTTGACGAATTTAAGATCTAATTACAGTTTTGAACTCTGGAGGTCAAACCTTTTTGATTGATGTATTTGACACACTAAGGTCTCATAGATTAATTTACTCTTATCCTGCCTTAAAGAATTTTAGTTCGAGGGTAGGCTGGTAGAGATCCTGATGAGTAGTAAAATTGAATCATTTATACGTGCACCCCACACTTGGTATTTCTGCCACACAAAAATATAGCTAATAAAAAGGAAAAAAGGTCTCATAGATTAATTTACTCTAATCCTGTCCCAAAGAATTTCAAGTGTTACAGTTATTGAGGATTTCCTCTTGTTTAATTTGATAAACTGTTATATTTTTATTGAGCTATTTATTTTTCTGTAGTTATATTTACATAACCAAGGCTGGTAATTAATGACAGAACACTTTTTTTCTTCTAGCAAGAAACACAAGTTTTGCATTATGTGTTTAGAATATCAATGTTGTCAGTATCTGTTAGCAAATTTTTAAAGGATAACCGTTCTGATATTTCTTTTTCTGGTAAGAAAGTGTTGGGTTTAATATTACTAAGGCTATTTAGAAGAAAAGATAAAGATGCACAACTTTAGATGCTTTAAATCATTTCAAGTTTAATAGTTAATTTTATTATTTATTTACATCATAGGAGATTTTTTATAAGTAGTCTGAATGTAATTTTTTCAACTAATACTAATAGACTTTAATATTTTATTTATATTCGAATTAATTTTTTTACAAATATGTAGTAATGAAACTAATGAATATTGAACACTATTTATGAATTTTATTTTAGGGGACCAAGATTTGGATAACAACAGTCATCAGAAAACTTTGCTACCTGTGCAGAATATAAGCTCAAAACAAAAAAATTCTTATGATGATCGTACATCAAGAGGGAAAACAAGCAGCTGGGACTTTAAGAATGATGAGGATAGTGGGGAAGAAAGTGATGATTTATTTAATACAGTATCGCCAACACCACCTAAACGGTTACGTCCAGATAATTGTACAAGCTTATTAGTATCTTTTTCATCAGCTATGAAGAGAAATAAAACATGTCATACCTGAATTTTATTGCATGCTGAAACTTTTCTGTTGCATATATTGCAGGCTTATTGCTGTATAGTTGCCCGTCAGTTACTAATTTAGCAAGTTTCTTTGTTAGTATACACTTTGTTTTGTTAGAAATAACAGAGGCATGTGGTGTCTGTTTCATTACATACATTGAAAGTTTATTAATTTAGGTTTGGCCACACATGTTCAGTAATGATACTGCAGACTTAGAACTATTTTTGCCATGTTAAGAAATATAACAACTTTGTGCTTTTAGAATTAGAGGTATTGCTTACTTCACACTTGGAGTAGATTTTGTACAGTGTCATTACCATTTGTAATGCTTTATTATAGTTTACATTGTGTGAGGATGCTAATATCGGATTTAAGAAAAATGAACACACATTACTTTGGCAACATGTAAAGTAGTACATAAAAGAAACAGTTTGTTTTGTACATTTATGTATTCATATGTAATATAAATGAGACCAACTAAAGTTAAAGATAACTGAATCGGGACAAAAATTATGTCTACCATTGCAAGAATAGTATATTGTATTATGAAATGTATTTCTCTTATAAAACTAAATGTTATCGTTAAAGCAAGCCTAAGAATTGTGAAGGTGTTTGTTCTTTTCAGAAATATTCAGTGCCAAGACATGCACCATATAATTTTATCAAAAGCTATTATTTTTGAAAGAAATGGGACATAAAACATAGAAATAAATCTTAACAGTGAAATAATGGAAAAGTAGTCGCTATATATTTGGTATGATAAGAAGAAGATGAATTGGTTCATATGTTTTTTTTGAAACTTCTAAATTTGAGATGTTGTGTAGTATGTTTATATAAAGTATTTTGATTTAACTAGCATTTCACTTGAGTGAAACATTTTCACTCATACTTTTTTGTACATATTTTGTCATGAATTTGTTTATGAGCATCTTTGAAAATATATTTGCATTTGACATTTTGTTACGTAGTAACATAGTGAAATAAATACAATATTGACAGCTTAGTCACAGTCATGTTTTTGTTGTGATGTTGTATAATAAAACTTCACCAGAACCTTAGAAATGAACTGACAGTAACTCATTCAGCAAAACTGGCACTCAGGATTTGAAAGTTAAATGTGATCATACATAACATTATGCAATTCGGCTTTATTGGGTGATCAGGGTTGTGTTCAGAACTAGTACATTTTCACTTAATATTCTTGGAATGATTTATAGAGGGCGCCACTAAACTGATACGGTTTAGAACAAATTGCTTTGTAATACATTGGTGGTTAAGGAAGTCAAAATGCTGATTATTACCTCCGTCACCGAATATGGACGGAGGTTATGTTTTCACTCCTGTGTGTGTGTGTTGTTGTGTTTGTTAGCAAGATTTCTCGAAAGCGGCTGAATGGAAATCGGACAAATACTGGTTTACATTTGGACTATGACCCAACTTACGATTACGTTTTGTAGGGTCAAGGTTGCGGAAATCCAAAAAAACCCTATCTGTTAACATGGAGACCGATTTTCACACTATTTTTGATCTATAATGCAGTATAAAATGATCGGATTTTGATGAAACTTGGTGGACATACATATATATAGAATATTATTCTTCATTGCCGTTCGGCATTGCAACTAATGCGTTGATAATCATTTGTTTCTTGTCGATGCGGCACAGTGGTATGTTTGCGGACTTACAACGCTAGAATCCGGGTTTCGATACCCGTGGTGGGCAGAGCACAGATAGCCCATTGTGTAGCTTTGTGCATAAATTCAAACAAACAAAAACAAAAAATTCTTGTCGATATTAAAGTGTAAAATTGAAGAAAGAGTCGTTCAGAGTTGTAGATTAAATCTATTGTGAAGAGAATGTAGCAAAAAAAAAGAATCCCTAAATCGTGAAAGGTTGCAGTTGATGTATTACTAAAAAACTGGGGAAGGTAAAATAAAACATCCCAATAACTGTGATAAGTGATGTCTGGAAACAAATAAATCAATGATAATCACTAGAACTAGAAGCAAAATGGAATTACAACTATTTTCAACGTACTATTCATGCAAGGCTTGAACACAGTAGTAACTATAGCAACCTTGATCAAAAGCTTTGAAACTGATTATTGTCGTAGTCCGCAGAAGATGGTATTTCATTTAAATGGTAGAAATATTAAGTAAAGTATCAATTGTTAAAACATGCCGACAAATAAATCTTCGATAAAAAAATTGCAAACAAAACATCCAATTTTCAAAGTACTTAGCATTACTCTAAATTCTAATAACTATTTCGTATTGTCGTTGTTTTATTAGAGCAGAGCTAAACAAATCTATATGCACTCTGTCCACTAGGAGAAATCGAACACCGGATTTTAACATTGTAAATATGTAAACTTGTTACTGTCCTACAAGGGGGGGGGGGGTGTTGTGTAGGAGAATGTAGAATAATTTATTTAAAACATTTAAAGCCACCGTCAAACAATATAACCTCTAAGCTTCCTAGTTTAGTCTGTATCATATTTTAATGTTTTTTGAAACCGTTTCTCTATTAAATTTTTATAACTCTTCCACCCCACCCGACTTCAACCGTAGCCACTATTTGAAGTAAAATATCATTCTGCGTTTCTTAGTGCTAACTTTTCCGCCAAATTTTCTTCACCCAACGCCATTTATTTTATTTCGTGAATGCCTACCTAAATTCAAAGTGCAGGACCTGGTTCGATTTGGATTTGGTTTAATAACTTCTTTATTGCTATGAATTATTTGTATTTTCTAAAGGCCCTATGAACTATTAGAAGTAACTGTGTGATGATTATTAACCAATATTCTCGTTATAATCCATCAAATCATGAAAGAAAGGACCAAAGGTTAGTCAACGTAAACAGTGATTTGGCAAATGTGATTATACAAGAGTGATTGAATTTATGGTATAATTGGTAAATAAAAGTTACGGTAACATGTTATACAAGATAGGCAAACCGACAACAGTGTTTCTGTCCTTCCTTGAGGACTAAGGATATTATAGTAAGACAGCTTGTTTAGTAACATGATTGTAGAGTCCTGAACAAACAATGTTGTGAATTTAGAAAATTTAGGCATTTAACACTGTATTTATCATTGAGGTCTAACTTTGTTGGAAAGTCACTCGCATTCAGGCAGAGTTTCTTCTGTGCATTGTTGAACGAAAGCTCCGACATTTTCGGTGTGATTTAAATCTGGAGAGTTCCCAATCCATATTCCACCACTTTTTCACGGATTACTCTCTCAAATTCAACAATTCTGAAACTTTTGAGGCATTAATGGGATTTTCAAATCTG